TGCCATGTTCACCGAAAATGAATATAATCTATGCTGTAGATCGGTAACCGGTAAGGTGCTACATAAAATGAATGCATGTCGACTCATCTTTTATGTAATATGATGCTATAGTATTTGAAGAAAACAAAATGATAAATAATGATTTACATCGATAGTAACGAATATTTTCTTGATTTACTAAAAAAAGTTAACAAACATCAAATGATTTACATTGATAGTAACGAATATTTTCTTGATTTACTAAAAAAAGTAAACAAACATCAAATGATTTAAATTGATATATGTGTAACTCAAATCTAATATTTTACATGTTTAAATGCAAAATAAATTTAGAAAAAATAAAGCGTTATTCAATTACCTAACAACGATTATATTGATTTCCTAGCGAATGCTGATTCACTTAGAATTGCTGAATTTTAATTGATGCGTATGAAACTTATCTTTTCTGTTGACTTGACATAACTTCATAAACTAATTTCTTATTGGCTACATTAAGCAAGGTATGTAAAGCATACCTTTTTAGACATTTACGAAAGCGACATCGTAAGATTTTATCATTTCGAAATATTCATTGGCAAGCGTATTCAGTTTTTAATTTTCTGAAGTTAATTTTTGTTTGTTTTCATACAGTACGAATACTTAGTTTGTCAATGATTGAATGTTTCAATTTTTTTCAAAATCAATTCGAAAACCATTCTTATTATTTATATTCGTGTATATATGTTATCGTTTCGATATAAAAGATCTAATGGAATAAAATAATGATGCTCCAGAGGTATAATTGAATATCTACTTGATGATCATGCTTTTCAATAGTTGACAAGAAAAAGTTAAGAAACGATATAATTAATCGAAATAAAATCATATTACATCAATTATTTTATTGTTTTCGTCCTATATATATTAACAAATAAGACGAAATAAACGTCTGATATGTAAAAGTTATTCTCTACAATTATTAATGGTTCAATTTGATGCATAGAAAACATGAATTATCGTAGTGTCATACCTACTCTTTATGTATTGCAATTTGCATGGTTTACTGTTGAGAATAAACAGATTGGTTACTTTTACTTTTTTTATTCCTTCTATCAAGCATAAAATTATCGATTTTCAAAAATGGACTCATTGACTTGATAATCCAAAGTTAATTTCAGGATGAGTTTAATCTTCAACCCATGTGGCACGTTTATTCGTACTACCGCTAGTAGGATTTACGACTTTCGAATGTAGTTATAAACGATTGCACAAAGTATTTTCTACTCAAATTTGAATCATTTATTCGAAAAACTTCAAATTAAACAAGACGAAAAGAGTTTCAAAATATGTTTTACTAGTCAAGATGAAAGAAACCTCCAGTATCGTGCGCATTATATGTGAAGAACTTTGTCTACTCACCATTCAAAACAACGAACTTGTTTTGCATTAGTGTTTGTCCTTTCGTCATTTCGTAACTAATTAGGGCGATGATTCTGGCTTCCGACAACAAGCAGATTTCTGGTTAAAAAATCTTCGGATTTTCTTTCCGGTGACTTATGGTCATTTTGAATTGAAAATAATAGTAAGATGACTGAAGACAACAGGAAAAATCAAGAGATTTTATAGTCTGGAATACTGTCTCCATGCTCTGTTGATTTGTAGTGTTTGTCGATCGAAATCAGTCCGTATACGTTCATCTAGGTATTAGAGTCACTATATTGGCAAGTTCTATCATTGTATCATCTTTATATATGGATGAGATGTGGGTATGAATTAAGTCTCCTCTACATCGACACTAACACCCACAACTACACGCACGAGTGAAAATTTTTCTTTGATATTATCTCATATGGAGGATTATCTAAAAGAAAGCATCTATCGAGTTTCTTTCGACGTTGAATTAGCTTTAGTTTTGTTTTATCAAAAAACAAATCATAATAGTACTCAATAAGATCAATCCTTCGTTGTAGTATGAAATATTTAAACCAACTATTTGAATGAATTATGTAATAAATTGACTATGACTATGAATTTACTTGGCTTGCTGAGAATATACCCTACCCTCACATATATTTTGTTGGTTCATACTAATAAATATTCTATACTCCATGCTACATTCCAAAACAAATATATTGACCACTAGCTTAAGTTAGATTATATACTTAAATTAAGCACACCCTATTCTCGCTCTTGAGATACGCTACAAGCCAACATAAATTGAATAAAATGTTCGATGTCATATTATTGGTTTTGCAAGTGTTAATAACTTATTGAGTAAATTCACTCTTTTTCGAAAATTGATCAGATCAAACTTAATAGTAGCATAGCTTTACATATTTCTTGTAATTATGTTCATTTCTACTGCGTTGCTCTTTTACTTAAATATAATGATTGTGAGTCACATCCTTATCTTCGCTATTATATCATTCGATACGAGGTTGAACAACAGATGATAATGTGAAAAATTCAATCATTCAATATCGTTACAGTGGTATCATCCAACTGCTCACTCTGTACGGAACGATTTATTCTGCAAATTTATCGAATTATTGCAAGATAAAGTATAACTAAAGTAGATTAGGTTGATTTTTAGAGCAAAAAAATTGATACAGGTAATATTTCGTTTACCGTTAAATATTTTTTTAAAAAAGCACTATGTCAATAAGCATGTTTTAAAAATAAATTTTGTATCATAAACATCAACAATAAATTGAATGGTTTTATGATTATTCTATTTGGAAAAGCGATCTCAAGTATTTATGGCAAGCTTATATATCAGGAACAACTAGTCATCAGATTGCTATTCTTTATCATGATGAACCTTTCTCTAGACAATTAAGTGTATATTCTCTTCTCACGCCAATGTATTTTTAGCCTTTTCTTTTTTAATTTAGTCCTCATATTTATACTTTGGTATTTTCAGGCAAGACTTTTAGTACAATTGTGATTAGTACGAATCATTTGAACATTTGTTACGCCGGCAATATCATTCTCTATTAGCATAGTTTCAATATCAAAACCAAGAAATTTTGTTGAAATTTTCATTGGTTTCGGTCAAATGAGAGAACTTCCCTGAGGATATTAATATGAAAAGATTCCACATCAAGTTTCACTTTTCTTTGTAAATTAAATTTAGTATGAAAATTGTTATGCTTTTTATCTTGAAAGTTGTTCTAAAATTCTGATGAATGTCTTGCTTTCGGTTTTTTTTACGAAAATTTGAAAAAAAGCCTTTTCTAAATAATTCAATGATTTGTATTAACCTTGAAGGCTCCAATATATTGTCTTCTTATGGAGTAAAGTCTTCCAGGTATACATACTACGCTTATTTAACATGATGAGTAAAGGCCAACTTGAGGTTATAAGCTAAGAGATCATGTCCATCCCCATGGCTTCACTGTCACCAATGCTCTCA